CCTGAGCCTTTCGATATGTACTGAACTGCTCCAGAATGACATGATTATTCTTGCAAAATTCCGATTACATTTTAAAAGTTATTCTTAGTAGACTTCATTTTCAGAACGATTTTAGAGTGACAGAAAAATTGCAAAGCTAGAACAGATGGTTTCCAGACACTCCACATCCCATTTCCCCTATTCTTAACATCTTACCTTAGTATTGTACATTTGTTACAATATTAGTAAACCAATATTAGCATAGTTTGAATTAGGTTTATACTTTATTCATTGGTTCTTACTGAGTGCATTTTTTCTGTTGCTCAGTCCCATCCAGGATACCACATTACATTTAGTTGTCATGTCTCCTTAGGTTCATCTTATCTGTGACAGTACCTCAGACTGTCCTTTTTGTGATGATGTTGACAGTTTTGAGGATTACTGGTTGGTATATTTTAGAGTGTACCTCTTTGGGAATTTATCTCATGGTTAGACGGGGGCTGTGGGTTTTGAAGGAGAAGATCACAGGTGGAAGCGTCACTGTCATCACATCACGTCAAGGGCCGTACCATCCACAGGACTTATCACTGTTGATGTTGACCTTGACCGTCTGGCTAAAGCAGGGTTTGTCAGGTTTCTCCATAATAAAGCAACTCTTTTCAGCTTAACCTTTGCCACTGGTTCTTTTGCGGATCCTTCACTTATGTTATTTTAAAATTGCATCACTAATTTACATGTAGGGAGCATGCAGCTAAAATGAAAGAATTACATCATTATTTGGTTAAGATGGAAAATGTGAATCTGAACCAAGGAAATCTTGCTGTTGTTTATCGGAGCATCACCAACATATTGCCCTGAGACAAGGAGCTGCTCAGTTCTGTAAGATTCTCTTTAGGTCTCGGATATTCAGGGGCTAAAAAAAAATTACTTAATCAGTTTCCTAAACCTTGTCCCTGGCTTCTTTGCAAATGGCCGCCTCAACTTTTTGCTTTCACTTAGATTTTTCAAAATAATGTTTATCTTAATTCTACTTTTTGCGTCTCAGATTGATTCTCCATTTTAAAGTTCACGTAGGTGTTGATAATGGTTTCCCTTTCAAACCAGAACTCCAGGTGTGATATTTAAGTTTCTCTTGACTAATGATCTCATCAGAGTTCGTTTCCTCAGTGGCCCACTGGGTGGCTTAGGACGATTCCCACTGGCACCCACTTACACACTGGCATTTTCAAACAATCAGTATGGTGTTGTGATTTTCACACCAATAGTGTGGTTTGGTTAAACGGACACGGCCTCAAAGTCTAGAAACTTGGATTCTGATATCTGAGACTGATTTCATGCATTAAGCTTTTCAAATCCCTTCACTATGTTGACGTATTTGAGCTTCCTTAACCTAATGAGAATCTTAGAGGAGAGAGTACAGTTTTCATTTTGTGGAGGGTAGAGCCTCAGATATCAGACTTTGACAAATGGAAATAAATCAAGGAAGAGTCAGGACCAGGGTTGGGTCTTGTGGCTCCAAGACATCTGCTCTTCACTGTATGTGTCTTCGAGCTACTGCATCAGTCTCCACCTCTTGTGAAATGAAGCTTGCGGGTGTAGGCATCAGGGTGGTGGGGACTTGGTTAGCCTTTCCTGTTTCCCTTCATAAGCTACCAAAGGAAGGTTGGCTAGAGCAAGAATGGGGCAGGACTCATGCAGGCAGCCAGCCTCTGGGTGACGTGAGGGGAAGATCTGGAGTCACTTTGAGAGGCTTCTTCTTTGCCTGCTTTCCCATAACCTTAAAAACTTTCATTGCAATCTTGACCAGCCTGAATCAGATCTGAAAATGACAAACTCAGACGAGGAGACAAGCAAAGCAGACACACACTTCCCATGGGAAAGCACAGCTGATGATCACAGCAGATAACCATCAGAGACGAACAATCTAATATGTGTTTTTCCACTCTGAGGCTGAAGCAAACTGGCCATTTTATCAAAACTGCAAGCAGTGTGTCAGGTTACCCAGTGGCAAAAAACCTGGAACTTCCTGCCCAGTATAATCTATCCACATTTCTTATTTAGGTAACTATGAGTTCTATTGATGCCCAAATATATATTATGAAAAATAAAATATATGCAAACTGTGTATTTTATAGGGTCATATTTTTTCCCCGGGTTTCTCGGGCTTGAATGTATCCATCATTCAGCTCCCGCGTTTATAATTTATCAATAAGATCACTCTATAAAATATATTCTGATGCCTCACAGCTGTGTATAATTTATTCTGTCTATCCGTGCAGTAGAAATAAAATTTTTATTTGCATCATCTAAAGGAAATACCAATGTATAAATACATAAGAAAAGCTCATAAGAAACGGTCTTCTGACTACAGATACTGCTGAGGGGATGTTGTGCAGCCAATTAAAAAGCTGAGAGATGGCTTCATTATCCATGTACATAGATAATAAATACTGTACTCAGCAAATAGTGCAGTTACTCAATTTCTCAAAAAGGTTGCACCACATTCTACAAGGCTGCCACAGCCTGCTTCTAAATTCTCCTTCGAATGTTTGGAAATAAAGCCTCTTCAAGGAAAACATATTTGCCAAAAAGGGCTCCTTTTGGATTAAGATACTGGAGTATGTAGGTGAAACAGGAAATGTTTCAGTGGTTGGAATATTTTGCCTTCAGGAAACTAAACGGTGTCTTTCTCAGCCGCTAAGAGCCTTGGAAGAAACAGTCCAGAGGATGGAAGATGTTCTTTACAGTTGGTTTCCGTAGCCTCACCCTGATTATCCAACAGGAGGCCCCACCAACACCTCCTGAACTTCCCCAAAGTCAAGATGTGGAGTTGCTGCCTCTCCTACAGCTCTCCCTGCAGGAGCACCTGCAAACGGTTCGACTAGAAGACCCGGATTTCACGCATTATCTCCTTCCTCCTCACACATACAGCTTCTCAAGGAAAGTCTATTAAGTGCAAAGACTTTTCCTGCAGGCATCTGAGGCCTGGGCGAAAACTTTCCAGGTCTTTTGGAAGTGTGGCTGGAATACCCATGGAAACCATCCCATCCTCCCCATTGCTGAGGTTGGGTTGGGGGTGATACAGGATTCTAGTTTTAGAACTCTTTCTCTGCCCAATTTAACAGACCCTTGGCAATAGGATTGATTCGTGGTTACTCAATTTCACAATTCACTTGTGTTGGAAACTCAGCACTGCCAGGACTACCTTATAATTAAATTGGTTTGTTTATGTGGAGGATATTTTAAAATGCTCGCGATCACTTTTTTGACAGTTTTAGCTGACTTTCCAAAGACTACACCGATGCCCATGGTAACTCACCGCGTGGTGTGGTTTTCGGCAGGTGAAGGGAAAGTTCAGATGGATCTCCAGTTTTCACTCCATAATTGCTAGTATTTTAAAGCTGCCTTAATCCAATTCCAATAACATGACAGCTGTCTTATAAGTTCAGTTAATTGCACTCTGTAGTCGGCCTCTGCAGGAGCTGTATAGCTGGATCAGAACTCACTTTGTTTCTTTGCATTCCAATGTGTGAATCCCGTGAGGTCCTGAGCAAGAGACCCAGGTCTTGGCAAAGCTTCGAGAAAGGTGCCGTTGAAACCGGTCCATGTGCCCCTCACACGTCATGTGATTTCCCTCGGGCTCACCACGCTCTGCCTCATTTTATGGAAAGGAAAGTCTTGCGCTCCCTCTGCTGCTGTCTGTCCTCGTGGCTATATGTGGAGCTGGAGGCTTCTCATTGTCAGTTCTCAGCTTATAAGCTCCCCATTCCTAACAAAAAAGGGGGACTTTCCTGACCTGTCCTTCAGAAGTACCATCCCCAGCCATTCTGCTGTCTCCCTGGTTTCCTTCTTAATTTTTCAAGTTTGAAATAATGTTTGATTTACAGGAAGGTTACGGTTTTAACAGAGTTGCTGTGGTCCTGCTGTTTCACACACTTGTTGCTCTCTGAACTGGTCTTGTTTTCATCGTTTCTCTCCCAGTACAAGAATGCAAGTCCTGAGGGTAGCTTTCTCTACGTGCCGCTCTGAAATGCACAGGATGGAGAGAGAGGCAAGTCTTCTGGGATGAAGCTGTGCTCAGGAGATGAGGGTGTCAGTAGTATAGACAGAGGGAGCTGGCTCACTTTGGGGCTGCTGGCATGAGGAAGAAAGAATGGGCTTTTTTAACAGAAGGCATCAGGTCTAGAGTCACTGACAAGAGTACCCGTTCCCAGGTAGAGAGTTGAATACTTGGTGAATGGTGAGTAAACGTGAGATGGCCCCACAGCTGATGTGTGGTAGAGCTGGTGCTGCTGCGGGGTGCGACTTCCTCCAAAGCCTGCGCTATTCTGCCTTTGAGCACATGGAAGGCATGGGCTCAAGTGACAGGAGGAGGGAGACACACTTACTCAAGATCTCCATGGTGCCAGTGGTTGCACCCCTGCAGCCAGGAGAAGGACTTCTGATGCCTCCCATTGAGAGAGTCGACTCGTCACCTCCAGGCAGCCCTCCACAGATGTCACAGATATCGCCATCAGAGCCAGCACCTCTGCTTGCTCCACCAGAACCCTTCTCGCTTGAATGCAAGTTCATCCCTGAAGACTCAGCCCATCCCCACACTGAAGATGACACGTCCTGGGCCCATAGTCCCCTCCCTCCTTCCTTCCCCATGCGGCCGAGGGGCGCAGCTCAGCCCTCTCCCATTGGCTGTGTTTCGGACTTTCAGTTCACTCCTGTTCCTTGTCCCCTTGGTCCTTAGCACCTGAGAGTTTTAAATGTTCTGTGACCAGCTTGAGAATTTCTCAGAGGCTGTTTCAGACAGTGACTACGCGAGTAGTAATCCTTTGGTAACCTGAATATAACTGCAGACTTCCACATTGAGCATGATAAAATGGTGTGGATTTAAAAGTATTTGGGGAACTGTAAAACGTCTAGGATTAAAATTTCAATACCATTTGTGCCCAATAAATGTGAACTCTTTAGTAACTTAAAACTGTGCTATTATGACTCAGGTCTGAAAATTATGAGTCCTGCTTGAAGAAATGGGAATAACATGTGAGGGAATCTGGTCCCATCCTTCACCTTGAGGGATATACTGTGGTCAAACCAAATAGCAGGAACATGACCTCATAGGAGAGCAAGCCCAGAGAAATTAGCGTATTTGTTGAGAAAGTGATACACCCTCCAGAAGAGAAAAATGTTATACTTTCCATTAGGATTGTTTATGGAAATGGGGCTAAATTGAACCTGTGTTGGTATATTAACTGGTTCAACAGACAGGACCCCAAGAAACAAGATCGTATAATAGTTTATTGAATGACTTGATTTTTTTTAAAACATAAACCGGTCTAGTCAGTCTGAACTGGAAAATTAATTTTGTCTATAGAATCACTTACTAAAGCATATAAAATTAGACTCCGTAAGTGCAGAGAGGAGAATTGGCATTATGTGTAACAGATTCGCTGGGACTTAAATAAATGGATTTAGTCTTAATACAGCTAAAGCCTTGTGACTTTTAATACAGAGCAGATCTTAAATAAGTATCAATTCATCATTTCAAAAAAGTCACTTTTGCATTTTTGTTGCTTGTCTAAGGACTGAATTATATATCTTGTCTATGATAATACCCCAGCACATGTTATAGGTCTTGAAGGAACAAATTAATTAACTTTTGTTTTCTTTAAGTTACAAAATTTTCATGGTTAGATTGACAGAGAATTCAGCAGTTTTAACACTTATCATGACTTAATGGGTTCTAGTGTTTCCCTGGGCTTATTTAACTTCCAAATATTTTCACTGTGTCATTTATGTAATAAGCTTCTGATGCCAAACTTTTCCTGACTAGAGTGAAATATGGGACTGTTTTCCTTTTGATTCAGGGGTGAGCTTATGGGACCAAGGAGGAGCTGATGAAGTTGTCAGTGTCTCTGTTCGGAGTGGAGACCTCTGGATCCCAGAGAAGAGCTTCGACTCCAAGGTGAGTTCCTTTCCTTCTTCTCTCCGCTCTGAGACTGCCAAAGCTTTTAAATCACATTAGCTGCTTTGGTATTCTTTCATTCAAGGGTTGCCTCTACTCACTTTAATGCTAACTCGGTCCTTATAGAATGGAAGCTTTATTCTTAAGAAGATGAAATGCAAACCAATTTTGATGTGACAGTGCTGATGAGGGATCCAACATTATTTGCATCTACTGAAAATTAGTTTTTGAACAAAAACCAGGGGTTACAATCCCAGATACACAACTTCCATGTTCAGTTTAACTGAATGAATGATGGGCATTTTTCTATATTTATGTCTATTTAATTAACATTGATTTCCTTGAATTGATTATTGCTAGAAATATATTTATGCAACTTAAAAACCCACTTGTCATGAGTTTTAATGCAGTCTAAACTTTGTTTACTTTGACATGATTTGAGCCTTTTATGATGTAAAAGAATAATATAAAATGATTGAAATAATAGTGATTAAATGTAATATCTTGGTGCATTTTATCTGCTAAACTGACATGACTTCCTTAAATTTCAGTGCTTGTAGAAACAGTTGGAAAGTGAGAAAAATCTGTGGAAATATGAGCTCTTTGAAGAGATCATACAGATGGCTTGGTCCTTGTATTATATAGAACTATTTTTAGATCATTTTTCATAATAGAAAGCAGATTTTTTGAAGAGCAGTTGAGATTGTGAACATCCTCTGTCATTTTCTGGAATGGTTGCAGTGGGCCGCCTTTATGTGAGTAATGATAAGGTGATTTCCATCTAGGGAACTTACCTTGGAAACTGAGCTTTTAGAAAGATTGGTGGTTTGATTAAAAGACCCAAATGCCAAATGTGCACGTATTTCTAACATTGTTGTTTCATGGACATTGTTGCAAATTGAATATACAAGGTACAAGTCAAGTATAGTGGTGTTGATATTTTCTGGAAGGAAAACTTAAGATATTAAAGAAAATTCCATCATGCTATTGGTCAGCAAAATTAAAAGCAACATAATAGATACAGTAAAAGAGGAGTGGGCTTTCATTATTTAAAAAGTTGATTTAAAATATTTAGAGACATGAATAATAGAAAAACATGGAATAATCTAAAGGTTCTTGGATGATGGGAGCCATTATATAGACTTTCCTTGGGGGTAGAGTTGCCAGATTTAGCAAGTTAGAAGTACAGAATGCCTGATTAAATTTGGATTTCAAATAAACAATGTATTTAATTTTAGTGTAAATATGTCTCATGCAATATTTGGGACATACTTTCATTTTTAACCTATGTGTTGCTTATCTGAAATGCAAATTTAACTGGATGTGTCCTGTCTTGTGTCTGGCAACCTTCCTGGAGGGGATCAGAGGGACAAGCTCCTGAGGGCTATGGGCCTGCCCCTGGGGTGCACCAGTTCAGGTCTTCTCTGGTTTGTGACCCCCAGCTTCCTCCTTCCTACCCACCAGCCACCTGGCAGACATCACAAGGTGTGTTGGAGGAGGAACTGGCACATCTGCTGCTGGCCAAGCATACCACCTGATAATTGTGAATCACAAGCATCATCTTTTAGAAAACTAGGAAAAACCATGATTATTAGGTAGCTGTCTCAACTCTTCTGGGTTTCTGCCTCCAGAATGAGAGCCCTGTGGGTGACAGGCGTATGCCCACTGCACTAAAAGAATTCCAGGTGAGTGACATTATGTAGGGGCATGACGACCTAGGTGAGTTGGAGACAGCATTTTGTTGTAACGCCAGTGGGCTCATCTCAACATATAGTTTATGGCATCAGTGTATGGCTGTAAAATTACACTATGTACTCATATTTGGTGGGTAACCCCGAAAGCTTGTGTGAGAAGTGGTGCATGTCAATGTCTGTTACGTGTGTGTACCTGTTTGCAGGAGTTCCCCATGGGGAGGACGTGTATACATGCCGTGGGAATAGGCATTCTGGCCAAAGGTGTGTATGTGTGTATCTGTCCTCATTATCAGTAAGTCAAGATTTTCATTTTGAACTGAATCATGCCGTGTATCTTCAGTATGCAAAGCATACTCACGTTAAGAATATTTTTTGCAGAACAACGGTGCCTGCTGTGCCTCAGAATATAGACTTTTAGATTGGCTTCTCGCTCCCTGCCTCTTTCTGTTTGGCCAGTTTTTAACCGAGCACCTATTATGTGCCAGGTGCTAGGCATGCAGCCAATGCAGAAGGCAGGCACACTTTCTGCCACCTGCAGCTTACATTACAGTAAGGGAAACATAATTAAATAAATTCACATTGTGATAAGTGTTAAGAAAAAAACAACAAAGGATTCTAGGGGCCAGGAGAGGAGGTGGATTTTGATAGGTTGGCCAGGAAAACCCTTTCTAAGAAGGCAAGGTAATTGTTTCAATAAGTTCTAAAGAACCAGCCATGAGACGAGCCAGTGTGTAAGAGGCTGGAGGTGCAGGGAGGAGGCAGGTGTGTCTAGAGCATGGAAAATAAGACAGACCTGGAGTGATGCGGGAGCAGCAGGGGCCAAGACTCCCCACAGGGCTCCTCCCACGTGTGACCTCACTGTGGAAGGTAGTAGCCTATAGGAAACAGACAATCCTCCTGAGATGACGACATGAACTGTGGCCTTCTTTCTCTGATAAATATTCTGATTTTTTATGACTTACCAAATCGTAACATTAATTTTTTGTGACTCTTTTTCCCCAGAGGTGACATGCGGTGTTCACAACCATGTAGCACGTTCCTTATTTATACAGAAATGCCTAGCTTTTAAATTTCTTCTTCTTATTTATTTATTTATTTTGGTAGAAATGAGGGAATCAGGGGATAGGGGACAGGCCTCTTTTGTCGCCTAAGCTGGTCTCAAACTCTTGGGCTCAAGCATCCTCCTGTCTCAATCTCCCAAAGTGCTGGGATTATAGGCGTGAAGCACTGTGCCCTGCCAGAAATCTCTAGCTCTTAAACATTTTATCAGATGGCCGTGACACGTCCAGTAAGCCAGAACTGGAAGTTCAGCCAGCAATTTCTGGTTGGGAATGCCATGGGAACCTAAAGACAGGGGGCCTCAAATTCCAAGTCACATCCTTTCTGGCTTTCTTCCAGACAGATTTCCACAATTGTTTTCCTAAAATGAAGATCTAACTCATCACGATTTTCCTTGAAATCCTCTGAGGTATTCCTCGCATCCACATCCTAGAGTGTGAAGACAAACTCTAGGCTTGGCATGAAAAGCACATCACTCTATGACCCAGAGGCACTCACCACAGCCCCACCCCATGGCCGGGGGCTCTGACTGTCCCTCCGCTCTCTCCTCATGTGCATTCTTCTTCATCCCATGGTGCCATAGCATGGGGCCACCCCTGTGACCTCAGGCAGCCTGGTCACCTGCCCCGCTGTGCTTTGTCCCAAAGCACTTTGGGCTAAAAAGCGGTAACAAGTTCCTGGGGGTTCAGTCACTCATGCCCAAATCTGGATTATGTGCCTGCCGTGCACCCGGTGCTGGAGCTGCGTCCCTGCCCCGAGGGTGGTCAGGAAAGGCCTCTCTGTGGAGGTGACATCTGAGGGTGACCTAAATGACATGAAGGGTGAGCCTGCCATGTGGAGTTCTGGGGAAGAGCATCCAGGCCGAGGAAATCGCGACAGAGGGAGCCAAAGAGGGAGCGCGGAGAGAGATGAGCAGGGCCCTGACAAGGTAGAACAGCTATGGGAAGGTTCCTGGGGGCTTGGGGCAGGGCGTGCAAGTGAGTTTTAACAATGATCTGTGACAGCTGTGCACAGACTACAGCGTAGGGCCCTGAATGGAAACGAGGAGAGCCATGGGGAATCCAGTGCAACTGTCCAGGAAGGAGAGGGAGGCGTCCACACTGACCATGGAGAGCACGAGAAGCGATTGGACTGGAGATATATTTTGAAGGGAAAGTTTGTTGGACTCGCCAGTGGATTCAAGGTGTTAAGGACAACCCCTGTGTTTTGGCCCTGGCTATGTAGGTGGCAGGAGCTTCCATCATATACACCCCCAGAGAGAAAGGACCCCCTGTCTAATTTGGTGTTCACCACGTCATTGACTTACTATGTATACTGGTTCTCAGCCTAGCTGCGTTTTAGAATCACCCAGAAACTTTTACAAGTAACAGTGTTCAACCTCCAGTTGTTGAGATGGCTTAAGTGGTTTGGGGCGGGCCCACGCAGATTTCTTTCTTTCTTTCTTTCTTTTTTTTTTTTTTAAAAAAATACTCCCCAGTGATTTTAGTGAGCACCCAAGGCTTAGATCCAGTTGGGGAAATTAATGTTGCATCCAATGCCAGAGTGCTAGTCAAGTCGATTGAGCTGATTTAGGTAAAATTACTGTCAAGTTTTCCCTCTCTTTCTCTCTGAATGGGATGTTAGAATGTCCTTTCCAAATCAAGAATCGAGCCATCACTGCCACTGAGAATTTAGTGGAAGGAGAAGAGGGACAGGAAAGGATGCCACCGCCTGTGTGTTGGAGAGCTTGCACTTTTGTTCGTTGGTTGTTGTCTATAATGTAGGGATAGGCTTATCTGCATTCCCTCCCTCTAAGGGTCATTGTGAGAATGAGATGAAACAGTGGCTGTAAAATACACTAGAAACTTAACACTACTACAGACATGTAAGGTGACGCTAAAAGTTTAAAGTGTCTTTAGGAACCAAACTCCAATTTCATGTCTTGAAAAAATTAACCGCGGAACCAGCGAAGACGTGTCAAAATGTGATTGATCGTGAGATGACCTCACTTGAGCTCAGCCTTTGAATACTCCAGGAAATGTCCAATTTCCAGCTTTCTTGAGTGAGAATGAAGTTATAGAAAGAGTATGCGAAATGGAAAATAGAAGGCAAACCCATTAGAACATGAAACTAAAGCTTCCCTTAGCATATGGCAGGTCTCAAATATCAAATAGCAACTAATTAAAATGACAGAGGCACATTCTACTCTATACATTTCCATGTGCCTTTTTTTTTTTACAGCTGAGAAAACGGAGCCCTGCTCTCCCC